TCCTTAACAGCAACCCAGCTTGTAGGGTTTGGGAGCTGTGGCGGGCAGAGACTCCGCAATCAGCAAGCATCAGAATTCAAGAGCAGAGCTCTGCAACCACCGTGGCGTTGATATGCGCTGATCCCATCAAGTATCCTCACATAACTTAACTTGCCCCTGTGATGATTCTATACTGCAGCTAGCCAGCATGCTGTCATATGCCAATTGGATGTGTGTTTGCGAGCGGCACGTTGTAAGCATTCTTGAGCCAGTAAAACCTAGGTACCCCAGTAGTACCCTTTTCCCCCTTTTATTCTGGGACCTCCTTATGAACGCTAAGAGTACCCTCATAGTTAAGGGGTTACTGGGGAACCTAGAAACTGGGAAGCCTTGTGTTTTGATGCCCATCCATCTTGAGGATCGTGCTTGGAGGTCGCGTTTTAAGATGCTTTCATGTTTTTTCTTGCTGGTGGTTACTCTAGTAGGATGTATGGGAAAACAGTCCCTATATGATCTCTTTCAGATATAGTCCCCTATTACCGATTAACCTTCTTTACTAACCAATAGTAAGTTTTGTGTATCTTCAGCTCTCAAAGGCTACCTTTTCTTGACCTCCCAATGCAACGTAGCCTTTGCTTGGGGCATCCCGTACTTGACTCTGCAGAAATGATTAAGGTTTAGGGTTTAGGTCTTGGAGTTTAGAGCCTAGGGCTTAGGGTTCAGGGTTTAGGGTTTAGGGTTTCAGGATTTTGTGGTCGCATATCCCCACTATTAACCCACTTACAAAGTCCCCCTGACCCTCCAAGTAGGCTTAAGGTTCACTCGAGGCGGCTTTTTCTTTGTGGTGGCTTGACTGCTGGGACGTCACAGCGCACATTCTGCAACGTTGTTCCCTAAATATTGCCATATGCTTCAAATTTCAAAGACTGGGTTCTATATATGTATATATATATGTATGTAAATATGTATGTAAATATGTATTATATATATAGTGCGCATATTTGATCATGCGTATTATAGGGGTGGTGGCAGGCGCCATGGTATGAGTTCGCACCACGTCGAGACTCTGGGATTTGCCTCCATGTCCTCGTGTGGAGTTTCTCAAGTCAAAGTCCATAAAATCCCAAACATGGCTGGGGTTAGGAGTACCCCCCACCCTGTAATAGTGGTATAGTAGGACTAGAAGAGGACCCTAATATAACTACCATTATCCCTTATAGTCACTATTACTGAGTGGGGGGTCCACCTATCTTGTTTTGAGAAACCTCCCATGTATTGTGGATCTCGCGAAGCGGAGCTCCATGTCATAGAGGCTTGCCATAGTGTACCCAGTGCTCCGAGAAACGTAGGCGTGGGAACCTTTCCGCTGAAGTAGGGTGATGGTGCTCATGGCGACGAGTAGTCGTTAAGGGTTTAGGGTTTAGGGTTGTGTTTCCAATTTTCATATGCTGCTATGACGTCTAGGACGATGTCTGCTTCTGACTGGCAACTTGACAAATCCTAGGGTTGGCAACATCATTGGCTGTCTAGCTTCATTACAATAATGCCTGGCGGGCAGATTGCAGAGGCCTGTTCATTAACCTCATGAGTCTAAGGTTTCAAATATGGCCCCTCATATGCGCCCTTGAGCCTTTAAGGGGGGATTCTAGGGACCCTTAAGGGTACCTATAGGATACATAATAGGTATATAAGGACCTCAAGGTGATCATACTAGGAGCCCATGGCTTCAACCTTAGAATGAGGAAATATTGACAGTAGCCCCTGTGAAAGTTTATGTGCAGCGAGAAGGACTCAGGGATGCCATTTGTAATAGGATTTAGCGGGGGGTTTAGGGGTCGGTTAGGGGTTTAAGGGTTTAGGGATTCAGGGATTTAGGGTTTAGGGTTTAGGGATTTAGGGTTTAGGGTTTAGGGGATTTAGGGTGTAGGGTTTTATATTGGGCTTATAAAGGAAGAATGGAGCATCAAATGGAAAATCAAATGGAAGTTATTCTGTATGGTTCTCAGGAGCATAGTGACCCCAAAACCTCATTATTCAGAATCCAAGGGCCGAAGATTTCCTCTGTCCTCCGCCATCTCCCTACATCCGTGCCGTACAGAGAGCATAGCTGGCACGGTGCGTCCTGAATCATGGTCTCTTCTTGCGGGGTCCGCAGAATAACAACGTGCCATGAGATTGGGTGGGGACTGGGTGGGGCGCGAATTTGTTACACGAACCTTGCTAGGCAATCCAAACATAGGGAGCGTGATAGGAACTTGATAATACACGAAGTGAAGTCACATTTTTCCATGTGGCCTCTCAATACTTTCAGTTTGGTTCGTCAGCCCTTCTCAACGGCTGGAAATAGGGGCCCTGATTATATATAACCCGAATATAAACCCAAAATAATCCTAATATAAACCCAATATAACCCTATTATAAACCCAAATATAATCCCATTGTAGTCCCTTATTTATGTGTATATTACTGCAAGCCGAAATAGATGGAACCCTAAACCCTAAACCCTGGAAATGGGGGCCCTGATTGCTGCAAGCCGAGATAGATGCCGTTCTCATCTATGTGTATATTGCTGCAACCCTAAACCCTAAACCCCTAAACCCCTAAACCCCTAATCCCTAAACCCTAAACCCGAAACCCTAAACCCTAAATAGATGGCATTCTCATCATAAGAGCACCTTGCATTAGGCCTCCTGCGGCTCTCAGCTTCTAAGAAGCCTGCTGCGCAGCCTAAATCCCTAAATCCTAAAGGTTTAGGGTATAGGGTTTAGGGTTTAGGATTTAGGGTTTAGGGTTTAGGGCTTAGGGTTTAGGGTTTAGGGTTTACCCTAAAACTTAGCAAATGATATGAACTTTTGAGAGCATACGTGAATTGCCCCATGTGTTCATCTGATCTTCCGGTGCAGCTAGGTTTAGGTTTTTTGGGGGGAGGGGGGGGGCAGGGGGAGGGTGGGGGGTAAGCTGAGCACGACAGGTAGCAATCATCCCCCCCCCAATCTGCGATTTGTTCAAGAACAAAGTCCATGTATTTCGTATTTCCTAAACCCTAAACCCTAAACCCTATTGATACATCCCGCGCCCTCCTACAGCAGTTTTACCTCTATTCCAAAACAACCCTAAACGCCACGCCAACCCTGGAATTTGAATCCTAAGGCCTAAACCCCAAAAACCCTAAACCCTGAGCTCGAAACCCTAAGCCCTATAGTCCCCCTTAAGTAGATAGAATATGGGGTACATGGGGATCTTATTATAACATACCCAAAGCCATCTTCTATCTACTTAAGCGGGACTATAAGCCCGAAACTCTAAACCTTCAATCCTAGACC